AAAAAGACAAACCAGGATGTGACAGAATTTTGCAAGCAAATCTTGACACCACCTGAGATTCCTACAGAACTCAGCATTCAGCCAGCTAAATGACATTCTGAAATTAATTACTAGATTCCAAATGACCATGAACAGCTGTCAGGCTTGTCCTGTTCATAAAGTAATTTGCATTAGTCTAATTTGCTGAGTTTTAAAACCATGCTGTACCATCTCTGTAAATGCTTACTTAATGGAAAAACATCTAACGGCTCAGCATCTCACAAACAGAACATGTTTTAGAGAGATAGGAAAGCAAGCCATGACACCAGCAAATCCTAGGTTAAGCTTCTCCCCTTGTTACTTATCATGCCTCTGATGTGTTCCTTCAGTGCCAAGAGCCACATCCCTCCCTCAGATGCTCTTGAGTGGCTTTTGCGGCATCTTCTTAAGCAGTGGGCAATTTTTAATGCGTTCTGCAATCCAGAATCAGCACATTTGTGAGAAAACCTTCTCATTTTGGCTGCATTCCATGGTCATTCAAGGGTTCACCAGAAGGAATCCAAAAGCAGGAGTAAAGTCATAGTTAATTATACACCTTAGTCTTCATAGGAACAAACAATATTACTAAACACACACTATCCCAATCAGACAAGCTCTTACTTGCAGTTGAAGCTGAAAACATACAGAGTTAACTATTCTTTTGTTTAGATGACTTGAAGCTTTTTTTTTTTTTGCATTTTAATATATTTTTGTTGAAAAAAGCACTTCTATGGAAACAGCAGGCAGTAATTTATAAAAGTTATTTATGATTCTTACTGAAAGTTTTATTTGACTACCATACTATCAAATCAAAACATTGCCTTTCACAAACCGAAGATGTGAGTCAGATAGAAAACAATTTTTATGTGGGCACAAAAGATTGGACATGGTAAGAATAGCTGATGTTGTAGGAATGCACGGACTTTGGGAATTTTAGTAGGAAAAACCTAAGGAAAAACACCCAAGCAAACCCCAAAACAGAAAACAAGCTAACTTTCCAACAGCCCTTTATATAAAAGAAAAATGTTAGGCAGATGATGACTCATTAGCTGAAGCATTCTATTAAGAACTAATGGAAATGAAAACAGATTTGGAACTCTCAAAAACACACAAATGCTTTGACTGTGCAAAAGCCAAATCTCAATGAGAATTCAGAAGACATAATGAGCAGAGGATAATCTCTCTTTATCAGAAATTACTGACTGTGTTCCCAGTCAAGACAGACTTCAGTGCACACTTGAAACTACAAATCCTACATAAGCAAACAGCAACTAGATAACTGGTAGCAATTAGGCAAATTATCCTGGAATGACTAGGTCCTGACATTACTCATCCTTTTTGGATTAAACATCAGAAAACTTAACTAATTGAAATGGAAAAACAACAGCTATGCGTGACAAGAAGCCCAATGTCATCAACAAACCAACAGCACTGCAAACACCGTCCTCTCGGTTCACATATGCATCTAAGGTCTCTCTGAGGAGTAACAGAAAGAAAATCCAATTGCCTCCTACTATCACCCCTACAACAGAGGTCTTACGAGACCACCCACACACTGTTTTATGAAAGCAGACCTCCCAAAGAAGGACAGCATCAGCAGTCTTCATCTCACTTCCCTTCATGTCACCCATCACGAGGAAAGCTCAACATCTCACAGGCAGTCTGTACGGCTGGGTACTCAGCACACTGCTGGCAGTCTTACCCCACAATTAATTTTACCTATAAACCAAGCAAAAATTTTCCAAGTATGAAAACTCTTGGAAGAGAGTGTAAGCAAGTGCCTATGACAGCAGCACCCATGTATGAGCCCTGCAGGCACCACCCCTTCCCAGGACAGCCTGTCTGGCACCGCACCTTTGAGAGGAGCACGAAACCAGAATACACCAGCTGCGGCTTCAAACATATTTGCTGTGTAAACAGTGGCTGATGTTTTGGGCAGCAACTTCTGCATCTACCAGCACTTACCACAAGAAATACTGAGGAACAGTTTACAAGTAAACAGAATGTAAAGCACAAGTCTTAAAAATTACACTAACTGGAAGAGCTTAGTAGAATAATCACCAGAGACAGGATGAAAAACACTTCTAAAGACACATTCTGTTTATTTCTTATTCTCAACCTACAACTACTACGAAGATGTATAGAGCAAGCAAAGACCACCTTTCTTTCTCCTTTAAAGATCAGATGCACACCATACATAAATCAGTATTTGAACATGCACTTCCCTATCAAGGTTTGCTTTATTATAATCACATTTTTCTACTTGAGCAGCACCCAAAGATCTCATCTCGGCTGCCATGAGAAAAAGTGTGCACTACAACAACAGAAGGAGTGACTGGTATGAGCAGTAATGTCACCAAACTGGAGTGAGGGAAGGGAGTACACAGTCCTCAAAATGTTGACACTGATCATTTGCGTGGTGAATGAAATAAGTTTTCTTACTATTCCCGTCACCTCTTTCCTAAAAATTCTCAGCAATGCTCTCTCAAGAATTGTACACAGTAACTGGAGACAAAACCTACAAGTCAGCATGTTTTTTTACACACACATCACACCAGGCTTTTGTAGAGTGGAAGGAATGGCCTCTGCTATTGCCCTGTGTCACAGTAGGCTCCTCTCTGGCTCCTCACATACACATCATCAAGTTGTGTTACTACCACAATCTGTACCACTGAGTAACAGTACACTGGACTCCAAGCAGAGTTTGCCACCCTCATGTATGACCTAAAGCCATTAACACTGCAGATGAAATTTAAACTTAGCACCACAAAGATTGCCAGTATGATAACACCATGTGCTGTAATGATACGCTATATATTGCATCACCAGCCACAATTTCCCAACTCCCTGATACAGCCCTGATGTGCCCATGTAGAAACTGGCTACAGAGTCTAAGCAGGCTTATGCACATACAGTCCTTCTTGCTGTCCTTTTTACAGTGAACTCTGAACATGAGCCACCAAGGTCAGTCTCACTGGTGTTTAGCTCCTATAAACATCAAAGGACTTTCAGAATCTAAAATACTTTTGTGGATCTGGGCATGAATCTAATTCTTCAAAAGTGTTTATCTAATTCTTGGTGATAAAGAATTTGAACTTGTATAGTACCTTTCACCGAAGCACATCATCCTGGCTTACAAACCAGTAAGGTCCTGCTTCTCTGGTGTACTGAGAGCCCCCTCTAGCATCAGCAGTAGGAGGCAGGCTGCAGGGATGAGAAGAGCCTTAGGGAAACCAGGGCAGGGTTAAATGCAGGCCAAATGGCTAAGAGAAGTCTAGAAAAGAAGGTGCATGTACAGCTTAGGAGAAGGAGACTGCTGGAGAAAAAGCAAATAGGTAAAAGCAGTTAACAAAAAGACCTACTACAACAGAGAGGTAAGAAAAGACCACCTTTATTCCTCCTTTAGAGATCACAGAGGTGCCACACAGAAATCCAACAAATATTTAAATATTAATCTCTCGACCAAAACGACAGGCAGAAGATGAAGGCACAAATTAAATGCTATTTAAATATCTTGAACACAAGGAGGAAGAAGATGAGCAAAATGGGAAACACCGGCATTAATAAGCAGAAAGGCATGCTGCGCGGGTGCTGCAGGCTGTCACCAGTGACTGCTGAGCAGTGACACTGCACCCTCACTTCCATGCAGCCACCACCAGGGCTGTGCAATAGTGGCTTCTTGCCTAGTTGGCTCCCCAGCCCTGCTCACAGCAGGCCCTTGCTGACCCCATGCCAGGCCACCCCTCACTCTTGCTCAGCTCTGCTGCCTGACACAACCAAGCTGAACTTTGAAGCACCTATCCAAAGGCAGCTGTTCCCAACAGCCCAGATAACCAATTCAAGTACAGAAGATAAAGCCTCTCACATGCTGACAAGCATTAAACTTACACCTTGTGAGAAGTGAGGACAGCCATTTCACATGCTCAGTTGCTGCTCTGAAATGAGTGCTTTAGAGGTATAAATATAAACAATCTAATAGGGACGGTTCTGATAGTTTTGTAGATGCGAAAAGGGTGACACTTGCCACAAGTATCATTCCCAATCATGGCTGAGAAGGACCTTGCATTAGAAGTATTTGTTGCTAACTCCTGGGGATAATTTTTCAACAAAATGCAGCTTTAATGGAAAAAGTAATTTTACAGAAAATGCAGTTTCTTATGGGAAGGTTTCATGGAAGTTTGTTTCTGAAAATGATGGCATCTTCACTGAAACCATAGTGCACTGGGAAATTTTGGACTGACATACGGAACAGCATTAAGATCCTCCCCTGGCATAAACAGACACACACTTATTAGATCCCAACCATGTAGGTAAATTGGTATTACTTGTTTACCCAACAGACCTCAATGTCTTAAGTCTCCTGTGCTAAAGAGGTTTTATGGCCTCTTATTATCAAGAATGTAAAACATACTTCCCAATAGGGCAAACAAGTTTTCATTCCCAAAAGGATGACCCTGTTTAGAACCAAAGCACTAAAAAAACCCTCCCCAAATCCCCCAGTCACAGGGCAGGGCAACAAGCAAGACAAAAATCTTCATTGGGAAGATGTTTCTCTCTACAGTCTTCCATCACCTGCAAGCCGGCACCTTCTGTGTTCACTACAAGGGTGCCTGTGCCTGCAAAAGTTGTTTTCTTCCGTATCTCTGAACCTCTTTTCTTCAACATGGCAATTACTTTTCATCTACAATCACTGGTAGTGTTTTTCAGCTTCAACAGTGTAATTTTCTTCCTCCAAAAAGCCTCACACTACCTAGTGCCTCATCTACTTCATTAATCATCACAGCTGGTAATGGATCATAATACCCATGCACACACTCATTTCTTTACATATACATAGATCAAAACATGTATTTTTGCATACATTTGGTATAAATGCACACATACAAACCCAGTATAATAGCAGCCTCTATTACAAAAATCATCTATATATATATCTTCATCGTTAAATGTCATGCTTGTTCTCGGTTTTAACAGGAAAAATCTCACCTGCACACTTCTAGGGTATTCTGTGATCAGTTAATCTGTACATTATCTATCAGAAGAGATTAGGTATAAACACAGTACATACCTCAGCTTCCCTATCTTTAAATGTTGTGATTTCATACTACCTTTCCAAAAGTAAGCATGTTTACTCTGTGTGCCATACACTGACCTTTTCCTTCAAAACAAACTCAAATTTGGTATGTACACATAGGATTTACAATGGGTACAGGTTTAAAACACTTCGCATGGATATTTGCAGTCACTGTTCCATTCAGCTGACTTCTAACTGTAATACCACCTAGGTTAGCTTAAAGCAGTTCAGAGACACTCAGTAACACACATCTATTTCAGTTCAGTGGAGGCTGCCAGGGGTTAACCCTTCATCACAACTGCTGCTCTCCTCCCTGCTTTCATCGATAAGAAGACATTCATGGCGTTAACCTCAGCCTGCTACCCAGTCTCTTTACGCTGCAAGAATGGAGGGTGAATGGATTTTCATTTTGGCCCTATCATGATAGCTAGGCACAGCTTTATAAGATGTTACTGTACTAGAATGACTTTTTTTGATATAGTTTATTTTATGCTAGAAGCACTGCAAATAGCACAAATCCTCAATCACCTTTCCCTGTGGTTCAGGTAAGGAATAAGCACAGAGTACACAAGCTTGTAGTTCCTTCAGTTCACTAGCTGCACGACATCTGGGTTAAGCCTTCCAGGTCCTAAACCCCAGAACAATAAAGAGGCCTTTTCTTTAATCTTCACAACTCACAGTTACTTTCCCTTAACCACAGGGAACGAGTATTCTAGCCTTGATTTGTTTTTCACTGTATTATTTCTATTATGTTGGCTCTCTTTGGCTTTAAAGTAATACTCATGTGACCCATCACACTACCTGTTTGCCAGAATATTGTCTCAGCAGGCATACTCAATTCATGAGTCAGAATCCAAAATAATAATAAGGTGTAATGTTTTAAGCAAATGATTCAGGAGCATAAAGTGAACACACTTGGGGAATTTTACCTACTTTGTGTCTGAGGCTTTGGGTTCACAGCCTCTAGCTCTTCCATATGACTATGGGATCTAGACTGCTTTTAGGGTTTGATGGTTTGGGGTTTGTTTTATTTTTTGTTAATGAAAGCTGAGATTCTCATGTATTCCCACAGTTCTGGAAGTTAGAGCTAGTAAAAACTATCTCAAGTAATGAGAGATTGTAAAATTACAAGAGCTGTAAACAGCATTATCATGAACGAGTTAAGAGGGTGTTAAGGAACCTGGAAATGACTTCTTCATCCCAGCCCTTCAAAGCGGACAGCTAAAGACCTAGGCCTTCTCTTTGTTACTAACATGATTCTTACAGTACAAACCCTAACACAGATGTTTAACGGGAAGGTTTCTGCTCTCCTGCTGTCATTAAAACTGTTTTTCCCAAATAATCTTGAAAGAAATCAGTGGGTTTCACTGAAACACATGGAGTTAAGCATTTCAGAAGCACCCTTGAATCCCACTAGACATTTACCTGCATTTTCTAGTAAACTTTAAAATCTGGCTTGTACAGATAAAACATTTCTTCTACAACAACCACTACACAGCAAGTTAGCCTTCTTAGCCATGCTACTATACTTCTAAGCTGTCTTTTTAAAAGCTTATTTATACTCCACTGAAAGACCAGCAGAAGACAGCTTCAGGACTGTGAACAGTTTCCAAGAATTCACGCTTTGCCTTGCAAATACCTGGTTTACATACAGAAAGATCCAGCTTGATCCTAAAGCACATCCCTAAAGGAACCAACACGCTCATATGCACTTGGCACAGCAGCGTGTAAGCAGCAGCAAGAGAAAACACAAAACAAATTAAAATACATATGCAAACAGGGCAGGAATTTCTAAATTGACCCAAAGCAGCACAGTTTTGAAATAAGTCAAACACGTAGTACTGAAGGATTAAAAAACAGGGATTCCTCTCAGCACGGTGCACTGCATTAATTCAATTCTGCAGAGTTGTGATTCCTCTCCCTCCAAAATCAACGGATGCCAAAACAAGTTGCTAGTACGTGAGGCAACACATTGAAAGATTACAGTTCCCAGTCCCAGACTGGCATGACCTTATTGTTAGGCAAGGAAAAAAAGCCTCATCTTAAGAGACATGGGAGCTTGTCCATCCTGCTGGGGACACCGTATCATACAATACATACGTCTGCACTGACGCACGCTATTTTATGTTATAATCTGTGTATTTTACGAGCTGGCCACAACACCTTATGTAACAGACCCCTGTTTAATATGGAACAGCATGTTCCTCGCCGCGGCAATCCCAGCAGTTTCCCTTGCCCCGAGCAATTCTGCCCCGCCGGGCTCCTGCTCAGCTACCGCTGGACAGAAAGGCCACTCGGGCAACCGCCGCCAGCCGTTCTTACTTGGGGCGTCGCGCCCCGACCGCTGTAACGGGGCCTCCACGCTGCAAAAGAACCATTTTGTGAGGCATGTCAAAGGCTCCCCAGCGAGGCTGTTCAGGCTGGCACGGGGAGGAGGGGGGGGGGAGATGGTGGGGAAATGATTTCTCAACGAGCGACGCCAGCCTGTCCCGGCTTCTTTTGGGCGACACAGGCACTGCCGCGCCGGTGGTGCCTCGGAGGCTCCGCCGCTTCGTGACTCCACTCGGAAGGCGCCCGGGGTGACCGGCCGTCCAGGACCCGCACGATGCAGATGGCAGCCGAGCAACTTCGGCTGCTGTTGTGCCGCACACGCACCGAGCGCGGGGTTCATCACCGGCTCTCTCCGCAGCTCTTACAAACCTCCCTCCGCGGAGCAGGAGCCGGCGCTGTCCGTGGCTGCGGAAGCGCAACCACGGTGACCGGCAACAAGCTCCCCCAGGACCCCGAAACACGGCTGCACCCCCACAAATTACGTAACAGAGGAGCATTTCGGGCGGCTCCGACCGGCACCTCCGGTTGCAAAGCCGGGAGGGGGGTGTGTGGGTCTGCCCCCTCGGGATCCCCGCCCCGGCGGCGGCACTCACCGCCTCCGAGTCTTCAAATCCATGCAGGTACAAATTGTCGTACATGGAGGTCCGCTAAACACCGGGCGCCTCCCTGGGTGCAGAACCGGCGCTGCGAGGCGCCGCGGGGGGTGCCGAGCGGCAGAGGCCTGTGCGGCGGCGGGGCCGAGCCTGCCCTCTCAGCGCTGCGGACACCCCAGCCGCGCGGCGCCGCCTCCCGCGCCCACCGCCGCTGCAGGTGCCCCTGCCGGCGCCACGCCACCCCGCAGCCCCCCCACCGCCTTCCCGCCCGACGCAACCCTCTCCCCGCGCTGCCGCGCACCATTGGCTGCGACGTGCCACCGCCGCGCCACCATTGGCTGCGACGCGCCTCTGCGGCCGCCGCGCGGGGCTGCCCCCTGCCGGCTCCCTCACGGTGTTGAGAAACTATCTGCGGAGCTGGGCTACCTGCTCCAAGGCCGCCCGCGCAGGAGCCGCGGGGGACGCAAATAACGGCGGCATGTTTTCCTTTTCTTTTCCTTCCCTCCCTTCTTGTTTCCCTCCTTTTTTTCCTTCCTTCTTTCCAACTCTCGCTTCACCACGAGGTGCTGTTCTCACCCACAGAACAGAAGCTCATTTTTGAGGAGAAACCCCCACACCACCCTTCCCCATCCCCAAGGTCTGGAAACGAACAAACAAAAGACTGAAAATGAAAAGACTGTAAGTTTGAACCTTATTTACAACTAAATTAAAAAGCAAATTTCTAAAATGCAACCTACTCAAGCTTTAAGACTGAGGTTTCTGGTTCCACACACGTATGCTGTACCTCACAGTACAGAGCGCTGACAGACAGGCAAACCTCGTTCCACAGGTGGAGAAACCACGTCCAGAGAAGCTGACTAACAGAGACAGTCACACAGTGAGGAAACTGCAAAGCTGGCCCTCCGTGCCTATGTCTCCTGACTTCCTATCTTATACACTTAAGCACTGAATGTTTCTCCTTGCAGTAAGCAAGTATAACACTAGAGAATAGACCTACATGATAAAAAAGTAAATAAATAATAGAGAATTATAGAGAAATATTTTACGATTTACTTTCCATTTTAAATCTCATCTTCAGTGCAATCTGACACAGCATCTCAGTGATCACAAACACTTCTATTTGTCTTTTCCACTTCCTTCATCTACTATTCCTTCCAAAGGCTTAATTTAGTTCTGCGAAGTTACCACTAGTCACTTGGGAAGCATTCAACAGACGTGTATAACAAAGCCAAAGGTGTTATTCTCCCCATAGTCACAATTTCTTACAAATTTAAACAAAGATTCACAAAGCTGTGGTCTTATTCCCAGTTTACTACTTCTATGCTGTCAATGAATTCTTTTCTTCTATCCATATAACCTCCTGGCTTGCAAGAGTTTATGTAACTACATATAGAGGAAGCACAGTCCCACTGATGAACAAGAGACCTGCTGGTGAAGGGAGGCGATTCTGCCCTTCTGCTCCATTCTTGTGAGACTCCACTTGCAGTGCTGTGTCCAGCTCTTGAGCCCCCAGCATAAGAAGGACATGCAACTGTTGGAACAAGTCCAGAGGAAGCCACAGAGATGCTCAGGAAGGGCAGGAGCACCTCTCCTGTGGTTATAGGCTGAGAGAGCTGGGCTTTTTCAGCCTGGAGAAGAGAAAGCTCCAGGGAGACCTGAGAGCAGCTTCCAGTGCCCAAAGGGGCTGGAAAGGGGCCTTTTACAAGGGCAAGTAAGGATAGGATAAGGGGCAATGGCTTTAAACAGACAGAGGGGAGATTTACATTAGACATTAGGAAGTTCTTCCCTGTGAGGGTGGTGAGGCACTGGCACAGGTTGCCCAGAAAAGCTGTGGCTGCCCCAGCCCTGGCAGTGCTCAAGGCCAGGCTGGACAGGGCTTGGAGCAACCTGGTTTAGTGGAAGGTGTCCCTGCCTGCGGCAGGGTGATTGGAACTGTATGATCTTTAAGGACCCTTCCAACCCAAACCATCCTGTGATTCAATGAAAGTTCAGGTCAATGTTTTTCAGTGTTGAAGTGTTTTGGTTGGTTCTGTTTTTCAGAACTGAGTACTCAGACTATGAGATCTTCCAAGGAACAGCAAGATTGTCTCTGGCCCTATGCAGTGAGCTCACTGCCAATGTTAAACCAACAAACAAAACGTAACAGGTAGTTAATGAACCTCTGATGGCTTTCAAGTAGTCTGTTTCAAACAGGACAGCACTTCTGTCAAACTGGTCCTCGTAGAACAGTTGTTTAGATGACAGAAACTATTTCTATGATTGACAATAACTTGCTCCTTCCTGGCCACCTCCACCAAGTGTGGAACAGCCGCAGAGACTGAGCAGCAGTTCCTTCTCCAGAGGGTTATCTTTCCAGTTATTACAGGGCTGGAGGACACAGCCAGCACGATTTTGGGAACATCGTGATGGTTTGAGAAGATGGTTCAGATGAAGGAGATTTCAGTTTCTAAGGTTGTCTTTAAACTCTCTATACGTGAGTCAATGGATTCATTTTTAGGGCCTGTGTTACGGAGCAGTTCCCCTCCCCAGCTTGAAGATCCGTGATGTTACAAATTTAAAGAAATAAACACATTGTTGGTGGGAGACTATTAAAATTTAAAAAGAAGGAATTTCTAAGTGCGACATCAGAATCATTTGTTGATTAAAAATAAAAAAAAAGGCATGAAATTGCAAGAAATAAAAAAAAAAGTGACTGAACCTCACATAAATTTGTAATGAAATAATTTAATTCACAAGTCAGGGGTATCACTATTTGATTTCCAGTACTTCCGTTTTACACTGTCCTTAAACCTGGAGGTTATTAAAAATACGTATTTAATGACTCAACTTGAAAGGCTCGTAAAAGTTGCTATAAAAATATACACAGCTCATTACACAGGGATTGTACTTGAAAAAGATAGAAATGTAAGGGACAGTCACACAACCTACTTCAAGCATTTAGCTTAAGTGCCTAAAATGCAGTGCTCGGGGTGGTCAGTATGGCAGTGCTGCCTCCCAACACCTCTGCAGGGCCACCAGCACTGGGTCCTGTCCTCCTTCCTGACCACCAGCGACGTGGGGAGACCTGAAGTGCATCCCCCTGCAACAGAGCTAACCTCTGTCAGCCGAAACTTACACATCCAGTGCTCATTTTCATGATCTAAGTTGAAGAAAATTATTAGAAGAGCCAAAAAATATCCAGGAGCCCCTGTAATTTTCAGTTGTTTTCCCCAGCCATGCACCTAAAATGCAAATATACAAATACCTGTAAAATTTTGAGGAACTCTAAATCAAAGACTATTTCAAATGTTATGAAGTAATTTATCCAGGAAACATGCAACAGAAACCAACAGAGGTAGCACACCAAAGCGAGAGAGGAAGACATCCAGCTCTCTGGAAATTGTCTGAAAAATAATCAGGCTCCCAAAATATACTGAAGGAACAGGAGACTTGGATGCAGCTCAGAAACATGGAGTACAGAAGGTTTGGTAGGGGAGGATATACAGATGAAAGAAAATACCTCAAAATTAATCTTATTGCCAAGCCATTGCTATTCCAGTCTTACCTGTAACACAGGCATTTCTATATATGACTACCAGGTATTATACAGGGAAAGCATGTTATGCTTTTACAGTGAGGGATACTGCGTTACCACAGATACACAGGTGGTCATCTGCTGGCTTCCAGAAAGTCAAATCTCTTTTTTTTCCACTTACAGGATAGCTTAGCACAGGCAACATGGAGAGAGTACAATATGAGAAAGAGTAAAAAACTTAATCTTTTTTCGTTGAGCTTCCTGAGGAGTGGTCCAAAAGAACAAAAAAAAAAAAAAAATCCACTGCAATGAAAAATAAGGCTCACACATTAACTGAAGGTTTTGAGAGATCAAAATCATCCCCAGCCTGCTTCCAAAAGAGAATACAGATGATCTGATACTGCTGCGCAGGGAGTTCTACTGCCTCAGGCCACAGAGAAACATTCTGGTACAGGGCACCTTCAGTGGGTATGTGGCTAACACCAAAGCAACCAGCATCCAAAACCCCATTGGTTTGTGTGTGTACCATGCACAGCTGTGAGAGACCTGGTGAAAACATGAATGGGGAAATCAGACAAACTGAGTCTTTTTAAGTTCTAACCCTTTACAAAACGTGTGGTTTTGTAGGTTTTTGTTTGTTTGGGTTTTTTGTTGTTGTTTTTGTTGTTGTTTTTTGGTTTTATTTTGTTTTTTAATGGTGTCCCTTGCTGCAATATACATTTTGTTTGTATTATACATTTACAATATGATTCTATCATTTGGAATTACCTTAAAGGTTATGAAATATATTAGAAGCCTCCTCCTTCTCAGGACTTTTTATAGGCTGACATAAGAAGACTGACATAAGAAGTCTGAAGCTAAAAGGAAAGGCTTGCCAAAACAGTGTGGTGGACCCAGAGCAGAATGGGAAACAACAGCTAGCAAATAAGTCAGTCTTGTTCCCTTCCCACACTCAGCATCAGCCAAGGTGAAAGTGATCTCATGAAGAGAAACTCAGTTTCTCCATTCCCTATAATGGCAACCTCTGCTTTGAAAGCAAGGTTAATCAGGGAACCCAAATATCACCTGTGCACTGAGCATCCTTGTGCAGGCAAATATATTTGGTAGCATTATCACAGCTGCCTGAAAATCTTTGGTCTCAGACCTGTTACATGGAGGAAGCTGGTTTTCTGTGCTTCCTTTTTAATTTGGGCGTTGGAGAATGATCCTGCAAGCACTTACTTTAAGATAGCACTACCCATGGCTGCTGTTTCCACATGGCTACCTACAATAATAATCAGCATTTGGAAAGAGTCTTCTAAGACTTCCAACAACTGATAGGTCACTGGGAATGTAACTCAGACTAACTAGTTTCTTCTGGCCTCAAATAAATGCTTTACTGCACCCTTTTAGGTTGGGGGTGAGGGGAAGAGAAGGGTTTGGAAATCAGAATGCTCTGAGCATCCCAGAGACCTCTGAAGTACTTATCTTCTTCCAAATAGTTCAATCCCACTAGAGATTATCCAAGTTCTTATTTTTTTTTAGAATCAACCCTCTCTGAAGTACAAAGGAAGTCTCTTTAAAACATGCATCCCTATATTCCAGAATGTGAATTATTTAGTCATTTCTGACCTATCCAAATGTGGGAATGATGTTTTTCAAGGGGCATGAATTTTGTACAGAACCATAGGAAATTTTATTTAAAGCTCAATCTAAACATTACACAATCAAATGACAGCACTTGTATGGTTCTTTTAGGAGATGTAGCAATGATCTATTTGCATAAACACACTAAAGTGCTATTTGAATAAATGCACAGTAACTAGATTGCCAAGTCAAGTAAATGCCTCAGCACTGCAGTGCGCAAAGCCAGAATGTAAGTCAGCAAGTTCTCTCTTTTTTGCACTTTTAACAAATTTCACTTTCACCTGGGATTTCGCTGTTACTAACTCAGTGCAAGTCATGCAGCGGGACTGCAGGCCTCAGTGCCTCTTCTGCTGCTACTGTGGAGGAGAGAAGTATCAACAGGAATATTAACACTGAAGTGACAAAATCCCAACAGCAACTCAGTGGAGGTGGTCAGAAGTTCTTTATGGGCTCTCTGCTCTGACAGTAAGGTTACGATCCTGGACTCGTAATATTACTTCAGGGAATGAGACAGCCTCCCTGCAGCAGGCAAGAGCATCTTAACACAACGCATTAGTGGTTACACTAATAGCACATTTGGATATGAACCCACTTTTTCTAGCACTCTTATGCACACAGAAGACTCCCAAACCCACAGTCTTCATCAGCATGCTTCATATGGAACATAAGCATTGGTTTTGATCTCTCATTGTCAGAATTCTGGGACCTGTTGAAGAAAATTGTTCTCCCCCATATAATGCTGCTCTTGCTGAAATCAGCAAAACATCCCAAGTTTGTATTTCATTAGAATAAAGGAAAAGGACCGTCAGCATTCTCCAGCAATCCACCTAAGGCAGAACTTGCTTCCACCAGTTGGAAGGAGTCCAATTCCTCACTTTTCTAAGTTATTTGGCACAGCCCAATTGCTTACCCCTTCTCCCTCTAAAGCAATTTCTTTCTCTCTCTCTTTCCTCTTCTGTTTTATAACAGAGATTAGATAAGCATCTGGTTCAGTAACAACAGCTTCTGCCTTGGAGTGGAGGTATGAATAAGATAACCTCTTGAGATCCATACTAACCCTGTTTTCCAGCACCTCACAAGCAATGATAACTGGATGACATTTGTAGTACTTGGCAGTCCTTGAAGCTATCAGATGAGTAAGGATGTATCTACATTTCAAAACAAAGAAGTGTTGTGCTGTTTGGGATATGTCGTGGCACAGAGAATTCTGTACATTTAAAGGTTTTATTAAAAAAAAACACTCTTGGATGGCATGCTTTAATTCTTTGAATTGCAAGTAATAAATTAGTCTGGTAGGGTCTAATTTGACAGTTTTTCTGGAGGAAGTGAGGTGCCACCTATCCTAAAACACATTTATCTGACACTGTTATGTAAAGGCTGCTATAATTAAAGAGAGTGTGAAGACTTCATTGTCACTTTCCCTTGGTTTCAAGCACCTACAATAAGAGAGGTAACTGGGCTACATTTGTAGGTATCCTCTATATTTAACTAGTTGTGAAATTTCTCTTTCCTACAGGCACTACAGAGATTTGCAAGTAGCTGAGCTGTGGGGAACTCAGGAACCATAGCTAGGGCCTTCCAGGGTGGTTTTGATACAGAGGAGCAGATTATCTCCACCTCCTGAGGCAGGTATGAATGTGTTCTGAGGTTTAAATAACTCAAGCCAGCTTTAATTGTGGCTTCCACTTTTGCACAGATTCAAGCAAAGCAAATCCAGAATTACCTGCAAAATGTTGCAAGACACAGCCCAGAGCCGTATCACTGTATTAACACAGGTCTCCCTTTTAAAGACTTGGAACTTGAAGTAAAGTACCTACACTGACACGTGGGCAGTTGAGCAGTCATGGTGATATTCACAGGCACTGAATGCACAGAGATCTCCCTCCAGCAAAACTTCCATTGATCAGTAGCTCTCAGCATCCACCAGGCTGCTACCGGCTGAAGGTCCAAATCACCAAGTCATGCTAGAAGTACCAACCAAAAAGACAGAGTGGTCTTATGGCTGGAACTGCATCATATTTCTTTGTTGGAGTGAATATAGGGATTTCTGTTTTTAGAGAAGATTTTTATCTTCATGCCAAAAACCATCTAGGCCAAAGGATTAAGCATTTATTTCATTTCTTATTTTAAGCTCCTATTCTTTTCTTATGAATGTTAATCTCCTTAACTGCCGAAAGTGCCGATGTGGAGTGCTTCCGTCTATCACTTTAGGCTGTAACTGATGAAATGATGGCAAAGTATCACCAACAGCCAATTACAAAGCTTATGGGAAGCTGGTGCTATTTTACCCAGGCAGTGAAAGTCACCACTGCATTCTGGAAAGCCTCATCAGTTCTGAAACGCACACAGACACACATATCAGAGCAACAATATCCACCTGGGGCTGATCAGAGAAAAGCTGCGATGGAGGATGGAGCTCTGCAAGCATAAGGCCATGGTGGCCAGGAATGCCAGGTACATCAAATCAAATCACAGCTGTTTGTTTAAGATTATGCACTCTGCGTATGGATCATCTCCAGATCTTCAGCATCATCTGATACCCATTATAACAAAAGAACATATAAGCTGGTGGCAGTAATACACTGCTGTCCTAAATGAGTTCATCAAAATCCCAAACTCACGAGATGGAGGACCTCACAGGAGTAGACAGCCATAAGCAGAAAGATCTTCCAATCTCATAAAAGCCATAGAGCCCAGAAAGCTCCTGGTCAGTGTTAGCTTCCCAGATGCATTCAAATATTTGTAGTTTTATAAGTATACATTCATAAAAACGTTACTCAAAATATATTTTTGATAAATTACAACTATCAGGTTGTAAAGAGAACTGTTAGTTCTTTAGAGAAAACAGAGCCTTGACTGAGCAATCAGAGCTGGGCAAAGATGACCCTGCTAGCTAAAACAAAATGCCAGCATCTGTTAAAAACATGATCTCACTGGAGACTTTTTCCTTTAGATAAACTAGTAAAACTACAATTTCTATTTTGTATTTAGGGTGTCTTAGAGTGTCTTAAAAAGACAAAGGGTGTCTTAAAAGGAATGAGACCATTTTTAAGTTTTTAAGTCCTAGTGCTAAGAAGAATTTGTTAAGAGGCTGAAGGAAGAAATAAATAAAATTAGGCAAATGTGACACAAACATCTATAGTCTGCTGCTTCTCCTTGGGATTTTACAGGGATGGATTGATTAGCCTGTTGATTTTATTGCATTTTTGTATGATTTATAATCCAATTACCATATACTGCAACACAGCACTTCCAAGTTTATGGCAAGGGACTGTAGGAAAGTCTTCAGTTCATTTCAGTAAATTTCTATGAAACCATCCAAGTGGAGAAACTGATCCAGAAACAACAGATCAATGAATGAGGAACCACTTATCCAACCTGATTTCTTTAAATATTTAGTCATGAGAAAAACAAAGATTCAAGGATTTGGCTCTGTATCTTTATGTGAGTTCTTGACTGTAAAGCCTCTGGGAGACTTTTCTTATCTGATGAAACCATGACCTCGTGCTATTCTCACCATCCAGAAGCAGAACATGAAATCTGTGTAAAAAATTCTGAAGATGATCACTGCTCATCATCGTTATGAGACTCTCCTAAAACATATTTCTAATGCATCTCCATTTGAGAGGTTCGCTCTCTTCCACTGGCAATTCTTCCTCCTTCTTCAAGGAAACAAACAGCACCATTTCCAGTAGGACTTATTCAAGCTTGCCAAGAGCCACTTTGTGCTAGGTAGGATGGCTCAAAACAGACACCAAGCCCCCAAAATGTTGTCCTTCTTCCTTCCACAGTACACTCTCACTGCACAAGCACTTCATGCCACGTGGGGTCTGCACCAGCAGATCCAGGTTCAGCTGTGACTTGGCACAGGACAAGATTTCAGGGATCCCTGGGCACCAACAACCCCCAGCAAAGTCAGGTGGGAATCTGGGATGAATTCAGTCATCTGTGGTTGGCTCAGGGTGATAAACACCTGCAAATCTCACTTAATTCATTCAGCATCTCAAAATACTCCACACGCCAGCAGCACTGTATGAGTCCTTTCACAAATCTGAGGCAGTTAAGAAACGACTAAAAATACCTTCTGCCTTTTCCTTACAAGAGAGAACAATCATAATTATAAAAATCCTTGCAGCAGCAGAGCTTATCTTCATGTTGCAGGTATAAAAAGCCCTGTGTGTTTTACATATGGGGTTCAATGCATGAAGAGCTATTAAATAACATAGAATGGAATCTGTTCCTCAGCTTTTAGGCAAGGATGTTTGAACCCATCAGTAAACCTTTAAAATTCACAGATTAACATGATGTACCAATGCACATGATGTTAGGAGGTTCTGTGAAAGCTCAGGTATAGTTCAGAAGCTTGATGATATCAGGTAATTTTACATGAATACTGATTTTTTTTCCCCCTTTCATGCAGTTGCTAAACATGTATTTTCCTTAATCTCTCAAAACCCAAATCATGCATAAAAAACCCAAACAGAATGATTAGTTTATTCCAGCCTTTGACAGCATCCTTACAGAGACTACTTTAAAAAAAAACAAAACCAAACTCTAAACAGACTGCAGAAATGAAAGTTCTGTCCCATATCTAAAACTGTCTATGAGACAGGGAAAAAAAAAGTAGGAATAAATGGAAAAAGGATCAATATTTAGGCTCTAATATTTGCTATGGTCCAAAAAAAAAAAACCAAAGAACTCTTCATTACAATAGTGATGTTCTCACATGAAATGAAGTTAATTTGAGAGCGAGCATGGAAAAATTCAGCTTGAACAGCTAAGCTTGACAGAGTTACAAGCAGAAAACAGAATATTGTAATTGGAAGTGTTGAGAATAATAACAGCAGCTCTGCCATTCCTGCCTATAATCATTATGAGCAATAGAGAAGCAGATCGGAATCCCATGTTCTCAGAATTTAATTCAATATCCACATGAGGGAGCAGAGAATTAAAAGGTGATAAAAATCAATATTCATAAAAGGGCATATTTATCCCAACTGTAGAAGAATTCCAGACCCTATTAAAATAAACAATAGAACTTAAAACCTGTGAGCTTATCCTTAAAAAAAGTATTGGACATTTATTTGAATATTACAACTATTGTAACTCTACACATTCAGCTTAGCAAAATTTGAAGGGATATAGTTAAGCTTTGCTTCCAGCCTTGATCCCTTGACAGGGACAGGCTTAGGAAAACACCTAATATTGTTGACAGGTTATTGTATATGTGTTTTCCACTGCATTTTATTTTCCAAAAATATCTCCCATTAGCTGCTGTGATGGACAGAATACTAGATTAGACTTATATTCACTCTATTCAACTACGGTAATTATTACGTTCTACAACATTGACCCCTGTGCAGCTAAAGGTAACCACACTTTTAGGTCTATACCAGAAACTTATAAACTTTATTTTCAGACACACTGGTGTGCAATAACGAAAAATTGGTTTTACTCCAGGTCAGACTGGAAATAAAATGATGATTCGAACACTCACTGCTGCTATTAAAACTCATACTAAAGAAAAACACATCAAATGTCTTAGTAGGGAATACTGCTGCTATCTCTTGGTTCAGCTGAACAAAAATAGCAGAATAAAATTACTGAGTAGTGTTCTGCAGATGGAGCGTATGTATGAGGAGCTTTCATTAATATCCAACATGACTTGTACAGTCAGAAACTGGGCCCTTGGAAACCTGTGGTTCTAGGATGGCTTCCTAAACCCAGCTGGTACTGGGATACTCTGAAGTCTGCTGACCTTGACTAAAGTAGATTGGCTAGACATGGAGCAAATTTGGACAGGAAAACTCCATGTTTTGGTTTTAGTATTTTATCATTCAAATTCTCCTTGGAACTGCATCAATGAACGTAGCTGCTTCACATTTGGAGTGCAAATCTGGAAACATGGGCATGTTACAAACCGTAGTGGTACACTGCTGTACCCAAGGGCTGTTTCACCCAGGAAGCAGGACTCATTCACAAGTTCAGAGTAGGCAGTGATTGCGTTTGACCTCTGGTAAGTCACAGACCAAAGAGTTTCACCTACATAACCACAGCCCTTAACTGAGACCTACAAATTTGTGTTACGAAAAATAATTTAGAGTGGATGAATATGATTTCCCAGGAAAGAATTTGCTCTCAACTTGAAGACATCAAGCAAAGAACAGTCTACAGCTGCCCTTAGCTCCAGAGGTTAATCACCAAGAAACAGAACAGCCCACCAGTTTTACTGGATGCAGGTCTGGACTCCCATGGTCTCTGGTTCCCACAGGCAGTGCTCCTGGATGTGAGGTCCACCCAGGGTAGCCATGGTGTGGTTCAATACGTGGTGCCTGACCTGCTGAGCCTCCACATTTGCTTGGATTGGGTCAAAACATGATCATGGTCGAAGGGAACAGCTAGCCTCATTAAGGGACCATGGCAGCACCAAGTCCCTAGCGATGCAATGATCCTCCTGAGGAAGCTGTAGGACTGTGGCTGTTCTGCAGGACAAGAAAGCACTTCCCAGTTCCTGGTCCCAGCTGGGTTTCCTACCCTCAGGTCAAACTCACATCAAAATGAAATCCACCCAGACATCACCAGTCTCCCTGTCTCTTCCTCCCCAGCTGTTCCGCTCCCTGGGCACAGCAGCCATCGCTCACTCTGACCACTTTTAATCTGGACATCTGGGGACTATGATGCAATACAGGCTACAGTGATCACTACAAGTCTACACGTGGCCTGAAATTATCAGATACCTATCTCAGGATATATATAGCCCACCCAAAAGCTACCCTGTCTTGCATCCAGCAAAACCCACTGGTCTTTCTGATCATCCGTTTCAGACTGACTCTGTTTCTCAGAACACTGTTCTGCTGGAAGCTTCAGAATCTTTAGCTATGACTCATCTCCATCAACTCCTGACAGCTTGATCTTGTATCACATGTGAAAGTGGGCAGTCCAGCTGAAGGGACCTCTATGATCACCCCAGTTCCACACCACTCTACACATTGCTTCGCCCCCTTCTCAACAGTCAGCATCTCTCCCCAGTGCAAACTGAACTTCTTTTCCTTCCCACTCAGCCTGGATTGAAATTCAGCAATAGGTTCCAGCCTGGGTGGGGTAGGAGCCAGGCACTGTGGAAGTAACAGGCAGAGGGAAGTGATAGGGGGGGAATGCAGCTATCATCCCTGACCAAAAATCATAAAGCAGAAATCACTAAATTCATATGCAATACAAGGAAAAGAAGCAGGGAAGGACCACCATGAAAAATATATAAATAGCATTAATCCAGCCTAATGAAAAGATGTAGAAGAGCCCACTGCTTATTCCTGTGACTAATCAGAGAGGTGAACTGATTGAAACAAAAACTGAAGAACTGCATGGCTTTGAGCACAAAAGCAACAAATATATGATGAGAGAACACTGAATCAGCATTTTCCCAATTCTTCAGCTGCCTTTGTGTGCGATGTTCCCTGTATTTCTGTATTAGTATTCCAACACAGTTGGATCTCCATAAATCCCTCCACAGCTACTTGTCAACATAATTTGCTACTGCTTCTACTTTTGCTAGCTGCCTGGATACAGGAAGAGGCACACCAGTGTTGCTTCACTGTTCCAGGGTGTATCATTTATGCATCTTCTTGCTGCATGGGGCAGGCCCTGCTATGACTTGTTGAAGGTAATAAATATAATTGCTTTGCAGATGTACAGGAAGCAGCAAGGTGAAAAATTTATAATTTGCCCCATCCCTGGCAGTCTTCAAGGCCTGGATGGATGGGGCTTTGAGCAACCTGCTCTAGTGGAAAGTGTCCCTGCCCCTGGCAGGGGGGTGGAACTGAATGATCTTTAAGGTCCCTTTGAACCCAAGCCATGCCATGATTCTGTAACCAAAATCCTGTGCAGGCACAGATTACAATAGTGAGATAGCCAACCACCACTACTTTCAGAACAGGTAAAGGTCCTTCAGGAAGGTATTAATATGCAGCATCTTAGAGCTGATGAATGTAACCCAAGATCAGTATAGCAGCCTTACAGACTTAGTCATGGAAATTAAATAAAAGACTTTTTATTAAATGTCTTCAATACTTTTCATAGTAGCAGGAAGCAAGCATTAAGGATTTAATAGCTTCTTTTGTCAGTGGACTCATTCCTTCCCACACACATGTGTGCCTGCTCTCCCCACTGAATTTGAAAGCCTGTATTCTTCTTTGTGCGACTAATGTCGTTTTATTCATCTTTTGAAGAACCCACCTAAATCTTGGGGGTGGGAAAGTAGGTGGTAAGGGCATAGGTGACAAAGGAATAGCAGTGAGCTGAATTACGCTCTGAACTGTGACTATCTAGCTCAATAGGTGAAGCTTGATGGGTCTGATACATTCATGAGAACATTTTCTTAAAATACCAATGTCTTAAATTCTATGCAGATTGTAAAACAGACATTTGAATGCCTTTATCTTAAATGAGCAGTGATGTAGGTTATAAGAATATTCCATCTACCTGCAGACAATTTTTCCTCTCCCCTCTGAGCATTAACAGACATTAGCTCTCAAAACTTTTTTCTATCCTTCTAATGTCCACCAAGCAGTCTAAACCATCAGTTTTAAGAAAGTGAGAAGCTATTTCCAGGAAAAGCTGTGACTGCCCCATCCCTGGAAGTGCTCAAGGCCAGGTTGGATGGGGCTTGGAGGAGCCCGATCTAGTGGAAGGCGTCCCTGCCTGTGTCAGGGGAGTTGGTCTTTAAGGTCCTTTCCAACCAAAACCATTCTGTGATTCCATGAAAACTCAGAGTTTGCCAACCACAGACATATAGCAGACAGCCCAGAAGTATTGTCAGATGTCAGTGTAATCTTCACAGGTAATTTATAATACAGGCAACACTTTAATAAGCCCCTTAAATACATTTAATGAAAGGAATAAGCACATTATGGCCATTTGTGGCACAGGTATACTTCATGCATTCCATGTCATCGTCTTTCAAATGAGCTCATCTTTGGCTTTTGCCAAGACCTGAAATCTGACACCTGAAACAAGTGTCAGTTAATGCTAGAGAGCTGGACTCTGAATTTCAGCATTTCTGTTAGGCCACTCAATATACCCCTGAGTAAGACAAATATGCTTACCAGCCTAGGCTGGATGTGGTCCAGTAACCAAAAAAATGAAAAGCTGTAGTCGTTGTGGAACACTAAATTGCTATCTTGCTTCTGCTGTTACAAAGCAATGCAAATCACTTAAAATAACCTTACAGAATGAGGAAATGGAACCATACTAAGTGTATCATGGCAAAAACAGCTTTATGCTTGTCCTGTATCCTTCATTAAGCAAATCAAAGGAAGGAAAATATTTCAAGAATCTCTTCCTAAGAGGAGCACCATGTATTTTCAGATAAGATAGGAAGTACAGACGAGCCAGCTTCCACATCGGTGTTTTAGGCACAGTGAAAACATACCATGAACTTGAGTTTCAGTTCTGCATCTAGGCTCTGAGACGTGATGCAAAAGTGAATTTTCAAAGGCTTCACAGACTGTATTCTTACAACTGCATTTCAACCTCACCGAGCATTTTCTGGGCATCCACTGCCTCAAACAGAACTGTGCATAAACCCACCCTCTGTATGGCTGGTGAATGTGCTGGCAAGTAAATAATTGGAAGCCATGAAAGAAAGAACGCATCCCTGTTACGCTTCACTGATCACAAACAAACAGATAAATAAAACCACACAAGTTTGCACCCACTAAATTCATCTCCTGTAGTCATCAGTGAAATAATATCCTTCCCATTCTCCTCCTGCTAAACAATTAAGTTATTCACCATCTGTTTTAAAGTGCTGGGTAATTCTGCTGCATTCAGCTCCCAGGGCTCAGATTTTCTGTTCTGACCGATGCGGCTTACTGCAGCCTGCCCCCCAGGCCTCCCCACACACCCTCCTCTGGCTCATGGGACATCCCCAGCACTAACACTTCTATCACTTCCATGCTTTTGAAGAGACACATCTGTTACAGCTGGGTTGTTTTTTTCTTTTTTCCCAGGGAAGACTCTAGTAGCTTTACAGCATGAAAGCCTTGTTTATTTACAAGTTCAGTGCTACCAATCTCTCCCCATTCCCTGCCTGCCTCTCCATTACACACATTTGGGACCCACCATAAAGCAAGGAAACAAGTTTTCTGCATCACCACCTGCGGTGGCATCCCCAGAGCCCCTTTCACATCAGAGCTGCCCCTACCACCCACCTGCAGACATCATTCTTTGTTGGGTCTGTGTAGGCTAGGCTCAGGCTCTTAATCAAAAAGCCAGGAAGGCATTATCAGGATGCCCTGATACCTTTCTCTGCAGCTATGCTGGGGAATGACTCATAGCAGAAAGCTCATATTTTTACACCAATGAGTAAATTTATACAGGATGAGAAAGTCTTTCAGTTTTACCATGAGTGCTGTAACCTCAAATGCTTTCCTGAACGCTTCAATTTCTGGAGAAAGAATAATATAATAAATAAATAAAAATCTCAGTTTTAATTCAAAAGCTTCCAGCCAAAACCATTGGGAGAAACTGCCTTCAAAAAAAATCACAGCTGCAAACCACTTTAAAACAAATATACACCATATGCACAGGCATAAAGTAAATCCAAACCAGCTATTTTGAAAACAACTGAAGTCAGCTTTATTTCTGAGAGTCAATACTCTCGACTCCTAAATTCTTGGAGTTGTCAAACCCTCAAAGATTACATCTGCATGAGATCCTTTTAGCTCAGTTGATCATACAGCTCAAGTTTCTCCAAGCCCAGAGCTATAAAGTGGAGCTACAGGAAGCACTGCATAGAACTTAATTGCTGTGACTTCAAGATGCACCTAAAAATAGGCTACTTTGCCGACCTGGGATTTCTGCCTCTAACAGCCACTTGTCCTCCCTTACTAATTGCTGTTAGTCAGAAAAGTCAAAAATACATATCACGCATTATGCAAAGCAAAAGGTTAGCTCTTCTGCAAGAGAGCCACCCAGCAAGATCAGTCCTCGCCTTGGCATAGGAGGATTCACAGCACTACACCATGACTGCAACTAAAAAGGGAAGCGCCTCCATTTTAAGGATTTCTTTATCAAAATCTATAGTATGCATCAGTTAATAACGGATGAAACCCTTTTTTTTCCTTAGGCTAAGTGGCTTTATACTGCTATTTTGAATGTGGGTTACCATGGTAATCAGCAGAATCTAGAATGAATTTGTTTTGTCATAATTGCTGCATAATTTTGTGCAAACAGCTAAATACTATCTTACTATTTCTACCAGATCGACTCAGTAGCTGGAGCTTTCATGTAGCTCATAATTTAATGAACGAGCCGTCACAAAATCTGATGAATTAAAGCAATTATAATTATTTAGAACAACTGAGCTTGAGTACTGCAAGCATGTAGGAGTGTTTATTAGTGTTTTCATGACTCAAAACAATTCCATCTTTAGAGCATCTTCAAGATTTTCCCTGTGCTCTACGACATCAGGAGAGAAAGCAGAGAGATCTGCTTATCAGCGTACCAAGTCTGAGGCTCCAAGGAGACAAAAAGAAGGACCAGCCAGCTCCAAGATCACCCCCCCCCCAGCCTGCCCAGTTCTACCAGCCTAGGACATAGAGAGAAGATAACCCTATCCCACACTCCAAAGAGATGCTGGAAATCCTACAGGCTGCCCTAAAATGTGCAAACACACACAGGTGGAAAGCACTTATCAACTGAGCTTATGAATTCCCAATCAAATAACATGTTATTGAAGGGACTGGTTGTGCCCAAAGCAATAAGTTAATGAATTTGAGCCAGCACAATGAGTCTTCAAGGCTGTGATATAACCCTACGATTAGATTTTTGCATTTAATTATAAATCTATGCAGTCATCATGCAGAAGACATCCAGAGACCTTTTCCTCTGCTAGTTTCCATGTGTATGGCATTTTTCTAATTCTTAATTTTAAATCCATGGATTTAAAAAATAAAAATAAAACCTCCAAAAAACCCACAACAAGAACATCTGGTCAGGAGTCACTAGCTAGACATGGAAAATCTCAGGGCAGTGGGGAAGCTGTCATTCAGATACAGCAACGTGGTCTTACCTTGGCTTCCAGGGTGAAAATAAGGCTGTGACCCTTCCACACAGAAATGCCAGGTGCAGCATGGTGGGAATAATATCCTTTTCCCTATTAATTTTGTATTGCCAAATGAGTAGAAACAGGGTTGTTTGCATTACCAAATCTGGCTGCCTTCACCAATTTTTGTTTTTACAATTTAATCTGGAAGAAAAGCCAAAAGCTTACGGCTTTTTTGTAAAAAAACAAAAAAAAAACCAAAAAAAAAAACAACCTACGATCATTTTTGCATAACCCCAGATCTCAGCAGTGCCACCATATATTACAGCTCCCTACTGCGTTGCCTGGTAGGCATTTATATATCTAAGCACATCAGTATATCACAGTGCTATAAGCTAAACAAACCAGGCAAAGCAAGTGCAGTGTTCCAGCCCCTGGCTTTTATGAGCTTCAAATGCAGAGGTTTAATGGTAAATTAGGTGTGTATTTGTGGTCTGATAGGATGTAATTTTCTTCTTCCAAAAGTGTGTGCTGTAATTCCCATCCTTTACTCTCAGGACAAATATTTCTATGAAACTGTGTCAGCCAGCACCAACGCACTCTGTGCAGACATTGTAAGGTGGCAAAAAGAAATCAATAAGCACTTTTGAGTAAACCCCACCAAAATAAGGCAATAGTTGTTTGTGGTGTTAATACAGAAACAAACCCCAAATGCTTGGACATACATATGGAGGAGTACAAACCATAAGATTATTCTTCAGTTCCTATTCATCAGCGGCTTAAGCATTGCAGGCTTTTATAAGTGAGGCTTTAGGAGGCTGAGTTTCAGACAGCTGCTGATACAGATGTCAGCTGTGTGAAACACAGTGCTAGCATTCCCTGGGCAGAGCATTTGGAGTTGGACTCTTTGGCTGCGAACAAGAGGCAACAAACAATGTGAGGACTGAGCAAGAATACCTTGGCATGAAGACAACGAGGCTGTATTTGCTGGGGACTGAGAAAGAGACACACACAGGAACTCTGTGTGTCAGCAGAGTCCTAAACGTGGAACTGAACAAGCACTTTCTATTGCATGCCCAAAGAATGCTAACTCATCACAGAAAACATTTTTTTAATATATATCCCCTTCAGAGAACATATTTCAAAGAGTGTACAGCATGCTGTTTATTTGCCTTTCCAGCTTTTAAAATGCCTTTATCCAATCAGAGGGGTTTTTTGTTTGCTTTTAATCTGTGGGTTTGCCCAGTAACTATGGGAAGACAACAGAGAGTGCAGATGAGAAAAGGCGGTAAAAAACCCCAACAACAACAAAATCAAATCTGTCTGTCTGGGAGATACATGACTGTTGTCAGAATTGGGCTCCTTACCTGCTTGAGTGTAATGAGGATCAGCTTTTCCCGGCACCTAGAAAACAGACACACAACCTACACAATGGTCTGTTGTAAAAAATTACTTGCTGGGAAGAAAATGCTCTTTCCAGGAAAAATACTTAATTATGGAGAATAAAGAAGAGTAGAGAGTCCACCTGAGTGGCCCAAGAGGACAGAAACTTCTCCGTTTGTGTACTAACATGGGATTTCTATCCAACAGCCCAATGCACAGGCAGGAGGAAATGAGTTCGGGACGACAGCAGGCAAGGGGAAGAGGTCTAGCCTAGTGCCCAGCTGACACAGAAATGCTACTGTCTTTTCAGTTTCCATCACCAGTCCAAGATGTCTCATTCAAAACATCTTGACTATTTCTTCTATAACATCAATCCTTGATATATCACTAGCCCTTATATACTATAACTGCACATATTAGTCATTTGCATACATTTATCGAGAGGTGCTAAAAAAGCAAAATCCTTGTCACAGGGATCCCCATTACAGTTGTAGGATAGAAACCAAGTCAGAAGAGAAAGGCAGCAGCTGCAGTGTCGGTATTTGTAAGTTATAAGAGCTGGGAAGCTCTGTCTGCTGAGAGCCAGAGCCTGGCATGGCAAAGGCCAAAGCATTTCTCACATGGAAAGATCTACATGGCCATAAAGCAGCAGTTTTGAAGGCTGGCGGAGTATTTTAATTATTTTGGGGGTTTTGCAGCTCAGTTCACGCAGCCACAAAGTGCTGTGAATCCTGCCCAGAAATTACAATCACTTCCCCTTTTACAGCTTAATGGTATGGGAAATATTTCATTTAAGAAGATAACAAATGTTTTATAATCATGAATGTTCACTTTGTCTTGTGCATCCTGCAAGCTGAACACCTACCACAGAAGTGGCCTGAAACATTAGAAAGATGTTAAGCTGTTGGAGCAAGTCCAGAGGAGGACACAGAGATGCTGGAGCCTGGAGGGGGAGGGAGCACCTCCCCTATGTGAGGGGAGCTGGAGCACCCCTCCCTATGCTGGGAGCTCCACCCCAGCATAAGGGCTGGAGCACCTCTCCTATGGAGACAGGCCAAGAGAGCTGGGCTTGTTCATCCTGGAAAAGAGAAGGATCCAGGGAGACCTTAGAGCAGCTTCCAATGCCTAAAGGGGCCAATAAAAGAGCTGGAGAGGGGCTTGTGACAAGGGCAGGTAGGGACAGGAAAAGGGGGGATGGCTTTAAAATTACAGAGGAGAGATTTAAATTAGATGTTAGGAATAAGCCCTTCCCTGTGAGGGTGGTGAGGCCCTGGCACAGGTTGCCCAGAGAAGTTGTGGCTGCCCCATCCCTGGCAGTGTTCAAGGCCAGGCTTGATGGTGCTTTGAGCAACCTGGTCTAGTGGAAGGTGTCCCTGCCCATGGCAGGGAGGTTGAAACTGGATGAGCTTTAAGGTCCCTTCCAACTCAAACCATTCTAGCATTCTCCAAACATAAATTCAAAGCAGGAGTGAGAAGTTGTGTCTTTCCTACCTGGGCTACAAAAATGAGACATTCCTGGAAGCAGCATTCCTCACAGCCCCAGTAACTCCTGTCCCATGAGATAACCTCAGTATTTTACCAGACATCCAGCACTGCAAATTACTTCCCAAAAATCAGCTGGAGCAACCATTTGGAAATTAATGATACTGAGCTTGTGATGTTTGTGCCTAAGCCTAGCTTTCTGCTGATGACTTTACAAAATATGAAGACTACATTTTAATTACAAGGAGGTCACAGACTTGATGACATGGTGCTCGGGGAGTACACTATCACAGCAAGCCTTAAAGTAACAGCGCCACCTTGTGGCTTTTACCAGAACTGCAGGTTTTTAGCCCACCTAGAAGCACAGCTCATGCTATCGAGTAACTGTGCACCTGACACTTTTTCCTGCATGCAGTTCTGTCAAAAAAGTGGTTTTTATAAGCCATTATCTGAGATTATTAAGAAATGGGAATTGTGTGTTTGATAAGCGATAAAACACCTCTCAGTATTCAAGAGTCTCTTCATCTTAACACTACCACAAGAAGATAAGGGCACAGAGAACTCCAGCTATCTGTCCTGTACGCTGGTGACTGACACTATTACCCTTAGTATTATATTCACATTTACCTATCAGAATCTGTGCTCATCGGATAAGCCAGCTTTGCCAAGTTAATCTTACCTGAAACACAAAGAAAGAATTTTGTGAAAAACTTTTAAAATGCACATTAATTAATGACTTTTGATGGCTCGGAGGTCTGAAACTTATCTGAAACGCTGCTCCTGTTTCTAGGATCAGGTACTTAATTCCCATGAAATTCAGTGTTGTCTATCTTTACAAAATATCTTAACTGATGGTATTAGGGTGGAAGGACTACAAAACATGCAAGACAGTGTCAATACAAGCTAACTGCCAGGTGAGACCATCCACAGCACAGGGACTGGAGTTGATCTACTGCTGACAGCACTCAACTTAAGCCAGTCTTCCAAATTCTGCTGCCACACAAGATAAAAATCAGCAACAATAACAACAAAAAAGACACTTCTGAAGCCTAAACCAGTATTTGATGTTTTAGACAACAGCCCATCTGTTTGGGCTCAACTCCTGTGGTCTTTTGTTGTTATTCATTTGTAGAATAACAAATGACTGATGATGAGAACATGACCACGGCAATAGCCAGTTGACTGATATGAGCCAGCAGCATCCCCCCCGAGCTGTGACCCTACGGTTCTGCCTCTACAGCCCAAATGTCCTAGCTCCCATTTACAGGGGAAACACAAGATCTATTTCTGTCATTTTGGAAGATTATTATTACCACTGGCTATCCATCAGAAAAGCAAGGTCATTTGTGTCTGCCCCCTTTATGCACAGAAGACCTAATGATCTGCTTTGCACTCCAGGAGGTGATTCCTGCAGGCATCTGCCCCCTGTAATCACAGCAGGGCACAGACAGATCTGACCCAGATTAGTCACAGCGAAGATAATGCATAAGGAGGATGGGCAAAGCAGCAAGGACTGTGGCATCTAGTAAATTGCACGGCTTGTAACAGAGCATATGGCACTGGGCACAGCAGCCTGAGCACATACCCACCACATGGGTAAGCTGATCGACTGAGTGCTGTACAGTAGCCACCAGACTGAAGACAATAACCAGGAGTATAAGGAGCAACATGGTCTATTAGAAATGTCAAAGACTTGTAAAGGGAAGCTGGACTTGCAATTTTCCAAGCCCAGCTGATGGATCAGATGGATACCACTGAATTTGGGGTCAAGTAACAACAATAATTATGCTGCCACTATAAAGAA